TAATTTGTTTGCCAAAATAAATAGATAATTTTTGTGTTTTCATATTTACTGCTTTAATATTGCGTTTATAATGTTATTATGCAAGTATTAATATAAATAGTAAATCTATATATGATCCTCTACGTGCAAGACTGTACTAAGTATTAACTACACTCAGACTGTACACGATGCATAAAAGTATACTCACTATACTATTGTACTATAATATCAAACTCTAATATAAAAATAATTAAGTCATTTTGAATTAAAAAATTTGAATTTCTATTTTTTATTAGTACTGTACTAGTTATGAAATCGATTATATTACCAAGGCTATTTAATCGAAATATACTGCAATGAATGTCCGGACTTGACCTCTGATGATAAATCTATATTGTTAACCAGTCTTCACACTAGTGATAGCATCTGGCTGATTGCCAATTGTGTTATTTATTTGGAATTTATCGTTTATAAATAATTTTATTTAGCATTAATATGTTTGTTTTTATATTTATTTTTAAACAACTATTTTTCATTTATACAGTGTAAAAAGTCATTTTAGGACACTTTAATGGCAAGCTAATGTTCAATAATACTTTATTGTCTTGCTCAATTTATTACTATTTTAAAATAATATACATTATAAAATTTTTATTAAAACAGCAATTCCTATTTATTTTATTAACATTTATAGTCAACAGAGTATCAATAGAATAATATTAATAATTGACGCACATTATGACGATAATTGAATGTTAGCTAGCATATTTTATAATATTTATTTTATTTAAAACACTGATTCCGTGTTATTTTAAGATTATGGCAATAGTATGATTGCGTTTAAAAATATTATCGGGTTGACTTTTAAGTTTTATGTAAAAACCTATCCTACTTAATTTAAATATATTAGCAAACTGTTCAAAACTTTAACACAAAAAAGTTTAGTTTCTTACAAACACTTCCGTGTAGAAAAGCTATTGATGACCAAGGTCAATGAAAACATAGCCGATAATAACATGACCATTGTCATATATTCATGGGCCATATATATAAATTCAAAAGTGAAACGGAACTTGTGTTTTGAATGTTGTAACTTTTAAACCAAGGTCACTTGCCTACGCGATGCTGACAAGGTGTTTTAATTTAGTTATATTATTATTTTATATTTTGTTTGCTCATATTTTTAAATTATTTATTTTAAAAGCAACATGTTTGCCACGGCAAGCAACCAGAACAGTTATTAAGAAAGATAGACATACTGGCCCAATGGTATAGTGCAGATCATTGTACTGACTTCCAATATCCTAAATTATGCTCTAGGCCATATGCTCGTTGGGTGCTGGGGCCAAAGTAGAAGAGGGTTAAGTGGACCAATGGGGATGAAAAGGATTTGTTACTCGGAAAACACTTTGATTGAAATTGATAGACCCTGGTCAGGAGTCAGGAGGTACTTGTTCACAAAACAAATGAACATATGTTAAATGCAAGTAATATACATTTTACGTTTTTAAAATTATTGATGATTTAATTCATAAATTATATTCAATATATGAGTAAAGATTATTCAAATATATAATCACATCTTTGATAGTAAACGTCGTTGAGGTTTCGGAACTTACGAATATTCATATACAAAGTAAAGTATAATGTTCATATTTTCATAAATAATTTTACTGATAAATACATCGAAGGGTTATAAATTAATCTGCTTAAAATATGAACATTATGTCACTTCTTAGTATTTTATGTGCCATGTTGCATTTATTACATTTGTATACTTTTATTTATAATGTGACCTTGTTTATTGTTTTAAATAAAGAGTGCAAACAAACAATAGGTCAAAAGTTACTCAAAATGTTCAAGGCATGTATTAGTAGTGTTTACAACAATGAGTACACTATATTAACTAAATTCAAGGTAATGTATTGTCCCGGTAACATTATACCGTATGAGACATTTAAGACAGCTTATACTATGAAGTAGTATAGCTACAAAATAAGCACTAACCAATCAATCAGGATTGAGGAGAGCAGTAACGTATGCGCCCTCACGTAAGGTATTTGTCAATGACTCGTGTAGCGAAATATTCAAATATTATTTAGAAATCAAAAATACAAATTTTAAAATTAATGTACTTACTATTTATTTGAATTTGAGAGAATTTTCAAATGTCAATAATTTTATCCATAGTTGGATAATTGTTTACTATAAAATTAACATCTGCGATTTATATTAATTTTTAAATCAAACACCATTTATAATTTGAATTTGCCAAATCTTTTTGGATTAATACGAGTTTGAACTTTTCAACAGGTTAGTACTTTTTTCAGGGAATTCTTATACCTCAACGTTATACCTAATATGTTATACGAGATGAGATTCAAATTTATAACTTTTTCGTAAGACATTTTAATGTTCACTGTTTGAACGCTAATGGTTAAATGAATAGATTGATTTAATCAGAGATTGCGAAATATCTTGCAAAATCATAATTAACAAAAATTACATTGCAGAATATAACAATTCCAGTTATTTTTGTTGTAACAAATTTTATTAAATATAATAAAAAAGATTGCATAGTAAATTTTTTAAATTAAAATGAATTGATAAAAATTGAAAATAAAATTAAAAATTTAAAAATAAAAATGATTAAATTTCTTAATATAAAATAGTTAAAATAAAAATCTTCAAAATTAAATGAAAAATTAAAAATATATAATAAAAATACTTAAGATTGATTATTATAAAATGTTTAAAATAAAATTGATCAAAATATTTAATGTAAGTACTAAGCTATTTAAAGGAGAAAGAATATAATTGGATGATCTCTCAATTTTCTGGAAAAGTTCTTAAAATTCAAGAAATGTCTGAAAAAAGTACTAAACTGTTGAAAAGTTCTAACTTTCGTATTACTCGAAATTCAAAATTTCTCAAATTATGGTGAGTGCTTAAAAATTAATATAAATTATAAAGATGTTAATATTATTCAGTGGCCCAGTGGCGTAATACACTAAAGGCTTAGGCTTGAAGTGCTAGTGCATACATCGACGTGGGTTCGTATCCCGCGTTCCCCACGGTGCGTTTTTCAATTGAAAACACTGAAGGCTTAATGAGAATAATTTATTGCACAATTGACAGACCCCAGCATGGAAGATCAGCTGTTGAATGCGTCAGGGTCTATAAATATTTAGAATTCATTTTCATTTTCATTGTAAATAATTATCCAACTATGTATAAAATTATTGACTCATTTGAAAATTTGTATTTTTGATTTTTAATAAAATTTGAATATTCCGTTACACTTCAGTCATGTACCAATACAGTACGGGAGAGCGTATATGTTACTGCTCTCCTCGATCCTGATTGGTTATTGCTTATTTTGTAGCTATACTACTTCATAGTATAAGCTGTCTTAATTGCCTTATACGGTACATCGTATCAATTTAAAAATGAATACTAATCAATTAATATTAAACAAAATGATAATTAATACTATTAATTATCGTTTACAATTCAAAAATAGTTTTAATAATAGGTAGAATATAATTACTATAAATAATTAAATAATATTTTATGCGTTTGTATATACAAAATTAATATAAATCACTAGTAATTAAAATTTTATACACATACGACCAAGTTTATATAACCTGCTCATTGGTATCGCTTTCGTTGAGTAACGTCGGCGACTATATTGTCCTTAACTGCTGTATGATATGTGGGAATCAGAGTTAGCAATGTTTTTCGTGTTATGTAAGTATGCGTTCAACTTTGAGATATATACTCGTCATACTTGAATACAGAGATTATATGTATTTCCGTTTATATATTAATATTATATACACGTATTATAATCTCATGATCTTACAGAAGCATACTGTATTAGATACAATAAATAATTATAAAATGATATGGCTAATATTCAATTATCATCAATGATTAAAGTACGTATATCTATGGACAGGCATAACTAGAACAAGATTTTGGCTTGATCACTTCGAATAAATTACTGGATCTCTTCCCGGATACAATGAACAGGTTTTGCCATGTTTCTGTTTTTCATAAAATATTGTACCTCGGTACTTATCGTATCTTAACAGTTAAGTGTTAGCCAACCATTATCGACGGTTCCTGGTTGATTATACAACTGTCCCCTTACCCCAAGATCCAGTGGCAACCAAGTTAATGATAACAAATATTAGTCCACATTTAATGTGTGCAGTAAGTGTACAGTGTTTGCGTATAACTTATTTATTAAACTTAAAATTAGTAATGATACAAGGTGTAATGCGATAATTAATTTTATTGGTTTTGATTTGTATTTTATATTATATTATATTATAATATTTCACAAAAGTATTATCACGCCTTACAATGTGAATGCCATTCAAACTTGATAAAAACTGACATTCATTAGCAAAAACTTTCGTTAGCTTGGTCACTCACATTTCACAAATAAACTGTATAAAATTTATAAACAATAAGATTGACATGGATCAATTTTAGACAGTTATAAGTAAGTCATTTGTTGATTTTAAAATGAAACATATTATGTATAAATTAAGCATAGTCATTTATTGATTCAAATGCAATTATGGTCGCAAAATGATCTGTATGAATTTTTTAAAACAAAACAATTATTTCTCTACAAAAATTTTAGAATTTTATTTAATAATTATATCAAACAATATATACAAACTATATGTACAGTATATAGATTGTCAATATTATTAATATAAGATATACTACGCTATTGTTAAGATTATTTAATAATCTCAACAACCTGGCTGATAACGTGCTTAGCAATAATCATGATATCGATATTTGTTTTTCTTAATAAAGTTATGATACGTGTTATGATATTATAGTTATATACACTAAAGTGGAGTAAATTGTATGAAAATTGATAGCTATTGTCACCATTTTGTATAATTAATATACAGATAAATGTTTATTGATTGTTGAATTAATATAATTAATATTCATGATTATTATTTGTGAAAAATATTTTATTTAATAAAATGTCAACTGTAATTAATAATTATAAAATTTGCGGTCAAATACCACAACATTTAAAACAAGAAATTAAATATTTTTATGTTTTCCGTGACTATAAGGGACATAACTTATTGTTTGTGACATTTGATGATATCGTGTATGGATTGGGATCTAATATTGAGGGTAAGCTCGGGTTAGGACACAACACACCCATTCATACACCAAAACGAGTGCCAGAATTATGCCATCAAAATATTCATCAGTTTTTCAGTGGACTTGACTTTGTATTGGCTGTCAATACGGATAATAATGTGATATTCAGTTTCGGTCCCAATAATTGGGGACAATTGGGACGGCATGTGGTTATGGATAAGAATGTATACCATAAACCCGATACTATATTATATTTTCAATCAAACAATTTAATTATTTCACAAATAAGTTGTGGTTATAAACACACAATTGTGTTGACATCAAATGGACAGGTATTTGGGTGGGGGTGTAATGACAAGGGGCAGGTTGGTTGTGGCGATAAAAGTATTCAATTAGATCCAACTCCTGTTGAATTTGTCACTGAATATCAAATTAGTAAAATAGAGTGCAATGAGTGTACATCACTTGCTCTAACTTGTGAGGGAAAGGCCCTTATATGGGGACAGGTAGATAATATAATAAAAACACCATATTTATTAGAAATTGAAATTACCATACACAATGCACTTCTACAAGGCTCTATATGTGCATATTTGTTATCTAGCCATGGTCACTTATATGGATATGACTTTCGTTATAAGTGTTTAGATATATTACGACATTTGGTGTTCAATGAAATCAAACAAAGACATGACTCAGAAATTGTCGGCAAATCTGGTGATAAAATATATGAAATTGTTGGCCGACATCTGTTTGAAACAAATTATACATCATTTGATGATTATTTTTCACATGAATTGCAAATCACTTTAAATACCATTTCAACAGATATTCAACAAAATACACAAATTTCTGGTAAATATTACAATAATGCCTTAATTGTTATTTAATATAATGTTTTATTATAGAAACTCACGATAAGTTGAATAATTCAATATTTGAAAAGTCATTTGATGTAATAAATGAGCTTGGTGAGGGTGGCTATGGACAGGTATATAAAGTTCGAGATAAATGTAACTATCAATTCTATGCAATAAAGAAATGTCTATTAAATGGTAATATATTTCATTTTATTTGCAATATTTATAATCATTTTTATTATATTTGTATTTTTTAAAGGATTGACAGAAAAACAGAAACAAAATGTTTTGAATGAAACGCAAAATCTTGTTAAACTTCGGTCAGTGTTTGTGATTGAATACTACTATTCATGGATTGAATGC